TCTTGTCATCCCGATTCCTGCACAGCCTCCCCAGAGGCAGCTGGAGAAGGGCAGCAAAGTGCAGGGAACGAGAAAGGACAGCAGCGAGTGGCAATTTCCCTGCCCAGGTGCCGTAGTTCAGACCCAGTACGCAGACCTCTGGCCCTGTAGTGCCCAGGGGAGCGGCCTAGGGGTGCCGCGCTGGACCGTGTGGAAGGGAGTGACCGCAAACTCCTGCAGGGCCTCGGGGGTCATGGCTCTTCTCTGTGTTCTCTTGACATTAAGGTTTCTCCCCAGATTGGCAGTTTCCCTCTCCTCTGCACCCACTCACCTCTGACCTGGGCACTGACCTCACGCCCTCTCCTCCGGGGCAGGGGCTTGCTCTTCGGTGGTTAGGAGCGTGGCCGCTGGCACGGACAGACCAACTTAGGATGCTGGTGCGGAGCCGAACTGCCATAAAGGCTGGGCATTCGGGGTCTTCCCCGGGAACACCCATCACCACTGGCACCCTGCACATTGGACATCGCCCCAGCTACAGCACCCCGGAGACTGATGCTAAGCTGGTCCTCCCTCCCACCCGCCCCTTTACAGCTCTGCCTGTAACAAAGTTCTTCCCAGTGACTCTGAAACCTCTGGTCTAGAGCCACCCACTGGACCCTGCTCGACCCCATAGCCCCACCAGGAGCAAGTCCAACCCCCCACAAGGGCAACTGCGGAGGAGCGTTCAATACTCACTGCGCCTAGATCTGCCAACTCAGCAGCTGTCACCTGTGGCGCCGGCCCCGTGCAGCTGGCAGGCCAGCTCGTGTGCTGTGTGCCTCAAGCAGAGAAGTCGGACAGCATCAGGTCGCATGTGGTTAGAAACAAAGCGTTTCACCAGCTCGGGCAACCCACGTGCCAACGAGCAGACGAGGGCTGCAGGCTTCCGGCGCCACCTGACTCTGGGACTCAGGTGAACGGAAGTGTAGAGGTGCTTGGCACAAGGGCCTGGGGGTGTAAGAATCTGGCGCAGCCTCAGCAAGTGGCTTCAGGGTGGGAGCCCTCTACCCTTAGGCCGCCACAGGGAGTGGGCAGACTCGTGTCATCCGTCCCCAGCTGACACTTGCAGATTGGGAGCCGACCCTCGAACACGGGCAGATTATCTCGTGCCAGGACATCTTATAGCTCAACTGGCAAACCAAAGAGCAGAGTCCAAGAGATTAGGCGGCTGAGACAGTCCTGACCTGATCTGGGGCAGCAGCTGCTTCTCCCTGCTCTGGAGAGGCCAAAGCCTCAGGTTCTTACGGCGACATGGAAAGACGATCAGGCAGCCGCAGGCGCGTCAGCAGGGGCGCGCTCCCAAGTTACAGAGCCCGTCCTCCACGGGCCTGGGTTTCTTTCGTGGGTTAATCCTAAGTGACGGCCGCTGTGACTCAGCACTGACCGCGCGCCAGGCACTGTGCTGGTGATTTCATACACAATTTCAAAGAACCCTTAAGGTCCTACAAGGTAGAAACAACTATTAATACACCTATGGATGCAGGGAAGAAACCTGTATCCAAGGTGAAGCAGTAGGGAGGGGAGGGCAGGCCGGGACCACCAGCCTCTAAGGCCTCAGGCCAGCGTTCCCAACCAGCGTTTGGCTATGTTGTTCCTACCCTTGGGGACCCCGTGGCCTTGTCTTCGCTTAGAAGGCCCGCGCTGGCGTAGATGTGCCCACCGCGGGGAGGGGGGTCCTGAGGCTCTGAAACACTGGGTCCTTCAGGCACGACGGAGAGAGCGTCTTTGCCAATAAGTGGCGCTGTCCCAGGGGAGGGGCGGCCTCTGCCAGAAACCACCACCCTCTCAGGGGAGAAGGAATATTTTCCCAACCACTCAGCTGCCAACTTCACTCTCCAACCCCGATCGCTTTCTATCTTTACTACTGAAAAAACAGTTAAGACAATTCTGTCCATTTTGTTTTATTTGTTAAATTGCTAAAAAGTATCGGGGAAAACATTAACAAAAAAATGAAATTGACAGATTTAAATATCAACGAATTCCACTTTTCATTCCTACACTGTTATGTGCCTAAAATGAACATCTCAGGGTTCGTCACCTGGGGCCCCTGAGTTGCGTGGGAAACATCACTCACAGCACCAGCTTCGCCAGGGCACTGGGGTGTGCGCTGGCATGAACCCTGGTTGGTGGGGAGCAGAGCGAGGAGAGAGCACAGCGGGGCCCACACCGAGGGCCGCTCTCATTTGACAATGGACATGGTGAGACGGAGCCACTTACTGGTGACCATGCAGAACATGCCTTCTGCATTCGTGGGGAGGCTGCCCGGGACAGAGGCCTCCGAGTCCGGCTCCCTTGCCCCTGGGTGCTCAGACCACCCCCCCCACACACACACACGCACTCGTGCGCTGGTGAGACCACGGAAGACGCAAAGCAGAGCACATCACCATGCCGGGATCACCACGAGGACAAGGACAGACAGACACACCAACCAGGAGTATCACTTTTAAGGGAAGGGAAGGAGCAAAGCAGAAGGAAACCCAGAAAGATCAAGTGAAAGAAGGAAAACATCCCTTGTTCTCCATCAGATGGCAGCTTCCTGTCCTTCAAAGTCAGGACTCCGGGAGTGGATTCTGTGCCCTCCTCTTCTGCCGTGTTAGAGTCCCAACACAGATCCAGGGATAGTCCACGGTTTGCAGCTCTTGCTACGGAACTCAAATGTGAAAAAGCAAATCACCCCGCGGAGGGCTAGGAGGAGAGGAAGTCCGCTGTTGCCACACAACTCCGTTTACTCTTGTTTGCACCCCCAGTCTGTCCTCCCAAAATGGGGGAGAGGGAGGGGGGCTCTGGAGCCCACCGCCCAAGTGTAGAAAGGTGGAAATAGGCGAGAAAACACAGAACTCTCTGTCGCACTCCCTGCTAAGTGAGAAAACAGGAAGCGCTGTTCAAGAGGGAGCAAGAGGGGAATCCTCACGAGGGGGAAGGCGGTGTGACATGGGGCTCTTCAAAGGCACACTTGCAGGAATGGAAGGGGTTAAAGCTTCAAGTAGAAACAAATGTATTTTGAATATTTAAATACTGATAAATATTTGCTTTAGGTGCTCCTGAGGGTTTAAAAACAGGTATTTTGTCTCATTTTTCTCAGTGGATTTTAAGACAAAATTGGCATTATGTCAAAGCCGAGTCGTGGCTGATCTGACCTGGTGGAGGCACCGCCTCAGCTGAGACGCCGCAAGTCCCACTGCACGTGTGGCTTCACAGGGGCTGGAGGAGACAGTCACTGCACCCCGCCATGTTGCTCTCCAAGGTGGACACCCACAGTGCCCAGGAGCCCCCAGACCACCACTGGGTACAGACGAGGCAGAGTTTTCTAAGAGTGGTGAAGGGACAGTCTGGTCCCCCATGGTGCGGGCGACCCTGGGGTGCTGTGGCGCTCCGAGGAGCCAGCGTGCTTTCTCAGAGAGCCTCTGCTGCCTGCCTACTTGGGGGTTAGTGGAAGGAACCAACAAATTAACAGCGGGCTTATGAAGGCCATGGGACGATTTTGAAGTTGAGATTCTGAGTTTTGAGGCTTCCAAAGACTTTAAATAGGAACCGAGTTTGGAGGCACTGTCCATGTACAAATGCAAGGTCAGAAATAAGCTTGAGCAACAGCAATAATGCCAACATTGCTGATCTCCGAGGCTAGTTTTCTCTTACGAATAAAGACCCCATGATCTAACAGTCTTTGCCGGAGCAGGACTGGCAAGTGCCCTGGAGCAGGGCATCTGGAGAGCTGAGTGCTGAGCGCCAAGCAGCTGGACACCACGGGGAGTAGGCACATGGTCGTCTCCTCACCGAACAGAACACACAGAGCAGTGTCTGGAACATGCTCCTCCCGGTGAGCTGGACCTATTCCTGGCGTGGCACCAGGGCGGCTTTCCCACCAAGACCACATGGTGAAAGCTGGGCTGGGGAGAGGAGGCCGGTGATGTGACGGGAGAAAACACGCTTTTCGGAGAGACTGCGAAGAGCCGCTGAGAGCCATGCCCGAGGGTCAGCAGCAGCAGGCTTGTGCTTGGGAAATGCTAGCAAGAAAAGGGGTGTGTAGGGGTGGAAAAGGCGATGTTTTAAAATTTAAATCCTAGAGGCAAAATTAAAACCCTCTGTACCGACAAAGACTCACCAACATCCACACTCAAGTGGTGCCATTTGACTTAATCCAACAACTCCCATATCTAGGCCATGGAGCTGCTGACTTGTAACTTCCTGTACTGACCAATGACATGCTTTAGCCGGTCACCTTATCTCGGGAATGACGTGAAGGTGCAAACTCAAGCCTCATTTGGGTGACCCGTGAACAAGACAACACCAAGGAGGTGATGCTCCTAAGGTCAGCTGAGCATCAAGGAGGCCAAGCCCAGGACACGGAGCTCATCACTGGTCAGCAACCGGGCAGAAAAATGCATGTCACAATGACAAAGATCATTTCTAGAAGGAGGTGTTACGAGGGTTCCTTTCCAGAATCAAGCACCCCATTCTACAGATGTGGGTATGTGTGCCCGATGTGCTTTGGAAGGAAAAAGAAGTCTGTAAGGAAAACAAAACCAGTGTCTTTTGATGTCTCCAGGATTTCTTGCAATGTTGACTTCCGGGAATACCCTATTAGCCCCCTAGTGACACCAGAGAATGGGCTCAAGAAATATTTCTCTGGACACAGAGCTTTTTAAAAGAAACAGAAACAAGGAAAGTTCCAAAGCTTAAAAAAAATGCACAGGTGCAAAAAAGGAAGAAAGCAGCCTATGTAATATGGAGAAGGCAGCCACTGAAGATCAAGTTTTAAGGGAAGAAAAAGGACAACAAATGTGGTTTTTGGCAACTTGCAACCAAATACGATTGTCAGAAAATTCCACCATCAGACACCAAATGTTTTCAGAGACATGGAGGGAGCACTCATGGTAGGAGCACTCACGGAGGGAGCATTCACGGAGGGAGCACTCATGGAGGGGCACTAGGTGGTGAGGTGTTGCTGTGTCAGCATTGCTTCACGATCCTGGCACAGACGCGGAACAAGATCCCTTGTCAGGTGCCTTTTCTCAGTCATAAAGGGCAGAATGGGGCCAGGCACAGGGCATTCCTGAAAGAGGAGTTTTCTCAGGTCCTCTGCAGTTTTCAGAGAAGGGGAAGAACAATTTCCTAGAGGTGACTTTTACCCTGCCAGCTACTGACGCATGTGAATCTGAAGCCTCCACTCGTGCATCTGACACATGCCCTTTCTTTTCCTAACTCTGAGAAGACCACATAAAGATTTACAGGGGGCTCTTCAATTTCTTTAGGAAAGTTCTGATAATTGTCTGTTCCCTAAAGTCCTGGTCTAGTTACCAGCGAAGTAGAAAAAGGCAGCACAGCCTCTGCTAAAACACAGCAACAATTTTATCTGAACCAGGACGGAGATCTCTCCCTCTTTGTAAACAGAGTTGGCTATATAATATATATTTATATATTTATATATAATTTCTTTCTTAGTGGAGATCTGATCCCAGCCCGGAGTGAATGAGGCTGGGAATTGGGGTTTTGGTTTATGGGAGGAATTCTGTCCTTTGTTTTCCCAATTCTCAGTCCAAATGGTTGCACGCTGGACAACTCCGAGTGAAAAGCCACAGAGAGGGAAAGGGGTTTGGAACACACTATCTCTTTGCTCGCACAAAGTACAAGGCGTTTGTTTTGGGATAGTACTTCACATTCTGTTTCTTGTCCATGAGTCCTCCAAAGATGATGAGCTCACCCCGGCCCTGCACCACCGTGTGCAGGCTGGTCTCGGGGGGCCCAACCACGGAACTGCTATTAAACACTTTCCACTTGACCCGCCCCTTCTCCTTGGTGTCCTTGATGTCCAGCACGTACATCTGCATGGGCTTGCAGTTCATGCTCTGGTACAGGGGCTTACCGACATTGAGGGACTGCGGAGGGTGGTGGCCCAGGCGGCGGGCAATGGGAGGTAAGGAGTGCCCATCTCCTTGGGCGGGTCCCGGGCGGGGGGCGGGCACGGTCTCGCCACTGTTCAGGTTCTGGCTCCCGGGGGAGCCCGGAGAAGACCCCAGAGGAGGACTGAGTGCTGCGGAGGCTGAGGGGCCTTTGGAGGACATCGCTTTGATGGCTTCCAGGCTCCGACGCAGGGCGCCGGGGGAGACGGCGCCTGCGAGGGCAGTGGCCACGTGAGGAGGGGTATGGACGCCATTGGTCTGCTCCGGGGGGTGGCGCACATTTCCCCCAACTGTCCTACTGTCCGCGCCATCTGTGTGATTGCCACTGGAAGCAGGTTTCAGATCCCAATTCAGATCCATTGATCCTAACCTCAGGTCCTTCTGATCTGGTAGTGACCCTCGCCGGGGAGCCAAAGGAAGTCCCATTTTTAGGTCACATCCTTCAGTGGCAGAGGGAGTGCTAGGAGATACGGCCTGAACAGGGCTATCCAAGGAAGAGCCGCCTACGGCTGCTGTTCCTGGAGATAAACTGCCACCATTGAGGATGGGAGAACCATCTCCTCTGGCTGGGGAAAGGCTCCCTTCTCGAGAACTTGAGGGGGTCTGCCTTTGCGCTCTGGGCCTCAATGTCCCCCAGCGGCCGTTAACACAAGGCGCTTCATCCATACTCCTCACTGGGGACTGGGAGCGGTACTCTCGGGTCTCGGGTACCAGGGCTGGAGGAGTGGCGCTGATGGGTGATGGGCGAGAGTTCAAACTAGGGCTGAGTGGGGCTCTCCCACTGGGAGCCTGGCTGAAGACCACCACACACTGTCCCACCTGGAAGAGAAAAGGCCGGTGCTGAGTTTGGATCATTCATTCAACCACAAAACATTTTATCGTGAGCATCCGGGACATGCTAGGTATTGTGTAGATAACCGAGGGTCAAGAGATGAAAATGATACAGTTTGTCCCTGGATTAGAGGGGACTACAGACATGGGAACAATCTCATGACGTGACATGTGCTATCACTGGAGTTCCAGGATCGGGGTAGAGTGGAGGGAGGAATCAGTTTTAGTTTGGGGTGTCCCTGAGAAAGTTTATCATACATAAAGAAATGTTTAAAACTGGAACTAGAAGGGACCACGTAAGTTTTCCCATCTATTTTTCTCACACATGTGAGAAATGCCCAAGAAGCAATGGGTACTGTCTGCCTCTTTTTTAACATCAAATTCTTTTCTATTTCTGGGCAAATTTGCTTGGGAATCTGACAAGTTAATCTGGTTTCACAGTTTAGGACCGCTCCTCCTGCCACAGCCCAGTAGTTCTCTGCTTACCCGACAAGCTGGATGACACCACAGTTCTGGGGCCCCATGATCTTCATTTTCTACCTTAAGTGGCTGCCAGGCCCAGGGACCTGGGTGCATGTGCAACAGCCAAGCATCCTTGAACAGCTGTAAGAGAACGACCGACAACAGGACTCAGGTATGGTACAGGTTACGACACATACACGCAGAGCTGGAACCACAAAGTGGTGCTGTCTGGGCTCTTCAGTAAGAACAGCAAAATTTGGTTTTTCATTCACTTGTGCCTTTATTCATTCATATAGTGTCATGGCCTGGCACATGAAACTGTGCTTGTCTCCCATGAATCAATTTTAAGTGACCCTGAATTTGCCTATGGTTTGTGTGCGTGTGTGTGGCCTGGGGAGTAGGAGAGAGGGCATGTGTGTGTGTGCGTGTGTGCGTGTGTGTGTTTGTGTGTATGTGAATTGGGGGGCAGGGGAGAGGGTAGGCAGTACATATCCCTAATGTTCTGAATCTGTATTCTTTTTTTTTTTTTAAAGATTTTTTTTAATTTATTTATGCAAGCATTGGGTATAGTCAGAAGCGCAGGAGGGTGAGAGAATTCACCAGAGCCAGAGCGGGGAGCAGAGCAGGCAGAAGGACCGAAGTACACTGCTGAGGGGAGCAGCGGGAGGCAGGAGAGGCCTGCGCGCCATGTGGGACCCTCCTCCGGTGGCTGGGGAGCAGCCGGGGATCGAACTGGCGCTGCAGGGGCTGCGGGCAGCTTCGCAACCCAGTGCTCAACCGTTGCGCCACCGGGGAGGCCCTGAATCTGCATTCTTAAATCAATTCCATGTGAACGCTAGCAGTTATCCACATGCCTTTCTGCCCTGCCTGCTTTGAGAAAACGCTACCAGTAAATCTTACAGCCTAAAGAGAAAGAAGGAGTAGCAAGAACACAGATGATATTTAAGAGACGAATGTTTCGTATCGAAAGCACCACACCACCAGCACCACAGAGAAAGCAGAGCAAACAGTCAGAGAACACGAAGGCTTACCCGCCCAAGGTGGAAAAGACATTTTCTACATGACATTCACGGAACACTTACAAGGCGAGACAGGGAAACAAGCTTTGGACACTGGCAGGTATGTACGTGGGGACGCCACACCAGCTCTACTCACAGCATTGGGACCGCCACACCCTCCAAGGATTAAGATAGTTGCATCATCTATAACAATCTAGGGAGAGGAAGAAATTGAAAATAAACCTATAGATACAGGCACCTGTGCCCCTGCGTCAGTGGTATATGAAAATTGCCTGCCCAGCACCCAGATGGGAGCTTTCTAGTTACCCGAAGTTATCCATTCTCCCCAAAGCACATCAATTCCCATCCCTATGCATAAATTACTGATGATTCACTGAAAGGCTATATTCTTTGCTGATCAAAATTAACCCAACAGTGCCAACCATATGTGAGGCAGGGTTCTTTTGAGAAGTGAAACAATGAAGTAAATGCTTGGAATGAGGCACAATGTATGGCCACCATAAATTATAACCCAGTAGAAGTTGAAAAATAAATACCAGCAAAAAATAATGAAAGGTTCTCTTTGACTTATTTCTGCATGTTGGCATATTACCCGACGCCCTCCTCCCTCTCCTGTCCTAACTGAACGATGCTACAGTGTGTGCTGAATAGTTATTTTAATTCCTGAGCACCTGAGATTGGCCACCTCGAGGATGGGGACTGGGGCCCGAGATGTTCGGTTTGGACCACGCCCACTGCTCGAGGTCAAGGACCCAGACGTCGTTGCTCCTGTAAGGAAAGGACATAGGATGGAGCACCCGAGAACACGAGAGCTGATATAAGTGCAATTACATTTAGAAAGATGCCCAGCAAATTTATACTTGATATACATTTTTCTTCTCTTTTCCCTAAAGGCCATCTCAAGACCTTCAAACCTTTGTTCTTCCCACTCACCCATAAGGCCTTATTTGAGTCTTATCTGTAGTCACATACTTGTACATAAGGTAAGAATTAACTGGTGACAGCAGGCAATAGCTACAGGTCAGCGTAGCTTTCAAGAGCGAAAACCACAGAGAAAAAAATTACTCAAAAGGCAGGGGAGGGTTGGTGGCAGCGGCAGGTGGGGGGAGAGGCAGTTCTATCATTGTCTAGGAGATAAAGAGTCATTGATTCTAGCAACGAGAAGTAATTGCACCATGGCTAATGAAAGCTGCAGTTTTAACAAGGACAAGCTGGCATCTCCAATCTTCATGGGACCAGTCTCTCAAGGACAGACTCCTGGGAGGTAGTCTGTTTGATGGCCACTTCTCTTTTATTCACACTAAGGAGCAAAGGAATAAGAGCACCGGTCCCTGAATCCTTGAACCCTCTCAGCTGGCTGGTAGCTCACATAGTCTTTCTATAACCATTTTTTTTTTTTTTAAAGATTTATTTATTTATTTATACAAGCACTGGGTACAGTCAGAAGCGTGGGAGGGTGATAGAATTCACCAGAGCCAGAGCGGGGAGCAGAGCAGGCAGAAGGACCGAAGTACACTGCTGAGGGGAGCAGCGGGCAGCAGGAGGGGTCTGCGCGCCATGTGGGACCCTCCTCTGGTGGCCGGGGAGCAGCGGGGGATCGAACCGGCGCTGCAGAGGCCGCGGGCAGCTTCACAACCCAGCGCTCAGCCGCTGCGCCACCGGGGAGGCCCTTTCTATAACCATTTTAAAAGAGGAAGATGGAGTGCACCCTGCCGAAGAACAGGTGGGTTTGGGTCTGGGATGGTGCTGCCGACAGCTCATCACCCCCACTGCAGAGCACAGGGAAATGACCATGGCTGCTGCTACTGCAGCATCACAGGGATTCTTGACTCGGGCCTGGCCTGGCCAGTTGTGGCCAGGAGTGGAGAGAATGATGGAAAGAGAGAACAGACTCACAGAAGCATCAGACCTGACGATTTTCTTGCTCTTACCTACTCCTCTAACCCATCCCACCTGGAGAACGAACCATTTCCACCTGTCCTGTCATTCTACTCTCTCTTCCTTCTCTAAAGTGCCAAAGGGCATGGGCTGGGTCCTGATGGAGAGCAAGGAAAAGTGCTCTGCTTCTTAGAAGGTGGCCTTCTGTAGGGACACATGGAAATAGGAGCTCTATCAGTAATGATCCCACTGAAAACCACATAGTAAATGAAGAAACACTGCACAGTCCCGATCTTATGGAGCAAGTTTTTCAACTTAATGGACTAGGAAATCAAAAACTGGAATAATAGGATGACATAACAAATTAAATCAATTAGAACTATGTCCAGGAATACTGACCCTGACTAGGGTCTTTTGGCCTGTTATTCCCAGAAGTGTTTACCTTCAGGGTGATATGGAGCAAACCAAATATACTTACATCTGCCGGGAACCCAAGGAGCCACCAAAGACAATCATTTTATCATCTATCACACAGGAGGAGTGGCCGGCCATGGGAGGTGGGCCGTGGGTAGTCACAATGCAGTTCCACCTAACACAAAAACACAGGAGGGAGTCAAGAAGTCAGCAACATCTGCTTCTGTTCTTATATATTTAAGGTAGAAAACCTAAAGTAAGCAGGCATCTATTTAGAAATGACAAGCCTACCACCTTTATTAGAGACACTGTTAGGATAATAAATGGAGGACAGGGTAAGGTGTTTATGCCTTTCCTACAAACCTGCCAAAGTTCTCACTGTGTATGGCTTGGAGGCAGAGTGGAAAGATGAGACTGACGAGGGACTCCACCGTGGCTCCCTGGCTGCTCCAGCCTAGTTTCTTTCTCTAGTCCAGATCAGTAGCAGCTGTCAAGACCCTGTATTAAGTAGTCAGTTACAAGAAACAGGGGCTGCTGTCATTTAAAAAAGACAGGCTTGACAGACAATCAGAGCCAGTTTTAGGCATACAGCAGGGAGTAAGGCAGCATCTGGATCCAGAGCTGGAGAAGTAGTAGCCAAAGCTCAAGAGCTCCCTGTTCTTCAACTGGATCATTCATTTTTCTAGGAAGAACTCTTCCTAGAAAAATCTCCTTTTTCTCTTTGGAATAAAGGTTCTTCAGATTTTAATGGGTCCCAGGTTTTAATGGGTCTGAAATTGTAGGCAAAAATCTGTGCATAGACAAGTTCCTTCCTTCTCCCTCCCTGAGAAATTAGCCCATAGCTTTTCAACAAATTCTCAAAGAGATTACTGGACACAAAAAAAGATAAGGAATCTATTCACTAAAAATCTTTTATTCCAGGTTGAAAGGATCTTATTCTTGTGGCTTACCAGTTTTTAGAGGGTGAGTACGTGTGTATTTCGTCAAAGAATCTCTCTGGTTGGTGTAGGGGATAAGGGCTTGGCCGAGTCCAGCCACCAAACAGCACCAGCAGGTCCTTGTATACAACCAGAGTCGCTCCAGCTTTGGGGGAAGGATAGGAACCTGAGAGAAGTCAGTAACATCATGGTTAGGATTCAGGGACTCAGAACAAGCCCTTGGCAGGCTGTCTGTGGACCAACTTTCCCTGGCAGAGTCACTAAATTGGAACCAATACTACAAAGCATTAGGGGAAGGGGAAGACAAAACTGGGTTTGCAGGTCTGAGAGAAAATCACCACCAATTTACACATCTTCGATAATTACAACGAAGAAACCTGAATTAGAGGAAAGTTAACTCACTCTCTCTTGGGTTAGTTTGCTGATCTGAAATTAGGAATGGGAGTAACTATCAATCTCATAAGGCTTTTGCATTTTAAATAATGCACTGAAAGCGCCTAGTACCATGCCTGGCACAAAGCAGGTGCTCAATAAATGTTGGCTCTTCTGGCCACCCCTTTAATAAGCTTAACAGAGATCACAAAGGAAAGTATGGCAGGGATCCAGAAAAGAGTATACAGAGAAGCCAGATGCCTGGATACAACGTAAAAATAACTGCTGCTACATAGGCTAAAAAGAAAAAAAAAAAACAAGAATGTTTTCCTGAGTCAAATGTTAAAAGAGTGACGTCTAGGACCCGCACTCTAGGCCCCACTAGAACAAATGGGGGAAGACTTTTAAGGTTCAGTATGAAGGCATTTCCATGACACTGCAGGTCTTACACCAAGAGTGGCAACTAAGGTGCTCAGGCAGGACCTGGAGCTATGCTGACCAAAGTCTGAAATGACAGAAATCTGGAAAATTTTAGGGAAAACAAATGTCTCATCGGAGCATGGTCTTTTTAGAGCTTTTTGTCTTTAAAATGACAATTGGTATTTCTCCTAATCTACTACCCTTAGTTTGCTCAGGACTAAAGCACTGTCTCCATATTCAGGTGTCAATAAATACTGAAATTTTTTTTAGTTAAAGCTACAGGATCCATTTTTCAAGGGAAATCTTAAGCAGAAGGTGCTCTAATTTGGATGGACAGCTTGGCCTCCCCCTTCAGCAGGGGGTTATGGGAATGCTGTTAGAAAAGCCTGCTCAGTCTGCTTCAATGGTGTTGCATATATATACAAGGTTTTGAGGTTGAGAAGGTGGAACAGAGGACATTCTTCCTTGGAGTCTAAGTAATAACGGCATAACTTACTAAGAAAGTACCAGGCCTTAAACTATAGAGCATCTAAGAACACTATGAGGTATCTTTTGAATATTTTCCTAGTAGAACAAACATCTAACCAGGCAGGATCTGACCACAGGAATCTTCTCTAGGATGGTTTTCGTGCCAGTCAGCAGGAGCGCTGAGACACTGGCTGAAGAATTCCACGAGTTAGCTTTTGCTACCCTTCTATCCCAATGGAAGGACTAAGGGACTACTCGTGATCTGCTGTCCTTTACAGCCTGGGATTTCCGGTTAAAATCTTGCACCTTCCCAGGAGAAAGCTTTCTAGTCCTACCAGAAAACCTAACTACTATAATAGCCTAGTTAAGATGTTAGTGTTACCCAAACCCAATTTACTCTGTGAAATATCTAACAAAGCTGCGAGTTCTTGTCTCTATCTTGGAACTACAAATACTGTGGAAAAAACAGAAAAGGAAAATAAAATAGGTTAATAGGCTTCAGGAGAGCAGTAGCTTAAAAATCTTATAGATTGAAATTTGGATTTGAATTTGAGATACTGGAAATCCTGACTTTTAAAATCAAGTGTATAAAGTGAAGCAGCTAAGCAAGGGTCCACAAAACATGGAAATAAACAAATGTTGGACTATTAATGTAAATTGGATGATCTGTATAAAAAAACCTTCAGAGCGTAGGCTTTGAGTCAGCAATTCCATTTCTAGTGATTAGTCTAGTAAGACAGGTGGACACATGGAAAAAGAACAATACAGAGATGCTCATTTACAGTTTTAAGTAAATCAAGGCATAGTCATATAAAACAATACAATTAAAAATACTGTGATGTAATATTTGTATTAAAACAATGCACAGCTCCCCTTAATGAAAACTGAAAAGAGTAAGTGACAAAAGATAAAATAATAGCTCTATGATTTACTTAATCCTTAACAACAACCCTATGAAGCAGGCACTATTATCCCCATTGTAAGGACAGAGGCACTGAGTAGTTAATTCCCCTGAGTCACAAATCTGTTTAGTGGGAGAGAAGGCATTAAAATCTCAGCAAAGGGGCCTCCCTGGTAGCTCAGGGGATTGGGCACAGCACTGTGGAGCTGTCCACAGCCTCTGCAGCTCGAGTTCAATCCCCAGCCAGCCAGGGAGCTACCCACACGGTGCAGCAGACCTCTCCTGTTTCGTCCGGTGCTTCCCTTAGCAGTGTGTTTCAGTTGGTCTGCCTGTTCTGCCTCCGCTCTGTCTCTGGTGAATCCTCTCACCTGTGCCCCAGTTCTTGTATGCATAAATAATTTTAAAAAGAAATCTCAGCAAATTGAGTCCACCTAATGTATTTTCCTCTATGTGTCCACTGCACATAAAAGAAAGCCTCGAAGGTCAATTGCCATGCACCTCTCTGAATAATAAAATGACATATGATTTTTTTAAAGATTTATTTATTTATTCATACAAGATCCGAGGTATAGGCCAGATTCGCGGGAGGGTGAGAGGATTCACCAGAGTCAGAGCGGGGAACAGAACAGGCAGAATGACAAAATACACTGCTGAGGGAAGCAGCGGGCGAGACAGGAGAGGTCTGCCTTGCCATGTGGGACCCTTACCAGCCGGCCGGGATTGAACCAGTGCTACAGAAGCTGTGGACAGCCTCACAGTGTGCTGCGCTCAACTGCCTGAGCCACCAGGGGAAGCCCAAAATTACATGATTTTCATTTTCTTCTTTATTAAAAAAAAAAAAAAGCTATTGGTTAAACTTTGCAAAAAGTTACAATTGCTCATTGAGATTGGGGAAAATAAAAAGTATTTTTTAGTTGTTAAAAATGAGAAATATTAAGTCAATACAATTTTCTTTCCTTGCTCCTCCCCTAAACTCACTCCATTTGCCAAAGGCCCCCCATTAGGAGGCTATCTGTAGATCCCTTATTTGAAATTTGGATCTCTTATTTGAAATTCTAAAATCCCTGGTTTTGGAAATGCAATTTTTTCAAAGTTCATTTGGCAAAACTAACCTAATATGAAGAGGCAATGTATAGTCTTTACTCAATCCACTTACTGAGAGCAACTGCACACAGTGCTGTAGAAACATTAATATTTGATTATAGGTATGCCTCCAGACTCCTCCAGACTCCACTTATCATAAGTGCATAGGCATCGTATTTCCATTCTAAAATCTAAAAAATTCTGAATTACAAAACTTAATTAGGGCCTCCCCGGTGGCGCAGCGGTTGAGCGCTGGGTTGTGAAGCTGCCCGAAGCCTCTGCGGCACCGGTTCGATCCCAGGCTGCTCCCCAGCCACCGGAAGAGGGTCCCACATGGCGCACAGACCTCTCCTGCCGCCCGCTGCTCCCCTCAGCAGTGTACTTCGGTCCTTCCGCCTGCTCTGCTCCCCGCTCTGGCTCTGGTGAATTCTCTCACCCTCCCGCGCTTCTGACTGTACCCAGTGCATGTATAAACAAACAAATAAACAAATAAAACATGCCTCTTAAAAAAAAAAAAACTTAATTAGCACCAACGATTTGACATAAAGGATTGATTTAACACTACAGGTTCTGAAGCCAGTCTTTCTGGGATAAGGTCCCAGTCCTGTCACATAGCTGTGAAATTTGGGCCAGTTGCCAGATGTCTCTCTGCCTCAGTTTTTCTATCTATCTAGCCCATTTCTATGAAGTGGGCTAACAATAGAATCTGCCTCATGGAGTGGTTTAAAAGAGGATTAAAAGAATTAAATCATATAATCACATAATGCATTTAGAACTGTGTTTGGTATTGTTATTATAGTTAAAACAAATTATGAAGTTAATAGCAGGTCAATTACAAAACCATCTGACAGTGCTACTATCTACATGGCATACAGTTTAGGAGAACTGAACATATCTAATTACTATAAATGGTTGAGCTTATTCCCAACAGAGTAACTACTTAGCACAAGAAAGTAGAGTAAAAATAAAATTATTATAACTGATGGTAGATGAAATGACAGGGAAGGCACTCCAAGTCTCTGAAAAGTAAATCGAATACATTGAATAGAATTTAGAAACCAAAACAAAAGTTAACACAAAACTAGTATGGGTTAGCACATGAAAAAATTATTTTCAGGGAAGTGCAAATCAAAACTACGATGAGATACCATCTCATGCCTCTAAGAATGGTCCATGTCAGCGAGACCACATACAACAAGAGTTGGCCAGGGTATGGAGAAAAAGGAACCCTCGTACACTGTTGATGGGAGTGGAGACCAGCCCAGCCCCTGTGGAAAACAGTACGGAGGTTTCTCAAACATTAAAAATAACCCTGCCCTCTGATCCAGCAGCAACCCCTCTTCTGATATCCACCCAAAGAAAACAAAAACACGGGCCTCCCGGGTGGCGCAGCGGTTGAGCGCTGAGTTGCGAAGCTGCCCGCAGCCCCTGCAGCGCTGGTTCGATCCCCGGCTGCTCCCAGGCCACTGGAGGAGGGTCCCACATGGCGCGCAGACCTCTCCTGCCGCCCGCTGCTCCCCTCAGCAGTGTACTTCGGTCCTTCTGCCTGCTCTGCTCCCCGCTCTGGCTCTGGTGAATTCTCTCACCCTCCCACGCATCTGACTGTACCCAGTGCTTGTATAAATATAAATAAATAAACAAATAAATAAAAAATATTAAAAAAAAAAACCCCATGAATTTGAAGAGCTACATACATGTATTCATATGTTCACTGCAGCACTATCTACAGTAGCCAAGCTATGGAAACAGCAGTTGAGTGGGTGAAAAAGAGGCTGCACGTACACACAGTGGAATACTGCCTCAACTGTAACAAAGGAGGAAAGCTTGCCATTCGTGACAACATGGAACTGGAGGTGACTATGCTAAGTGAAATAAAGTCAGAAGGAAAAAGAAAAATACTGGATGATTTCACTCCTAAGTGA